GTCCTGGGTAAGACGATAAACTACGTCGAATAGCAAGGCCTCTGATCAGGATTTTTTAAGGAGCGTGGAACCACCTCTTAAATGCTGGTGTTCCCAGGTCCACTCTGACCCGGGGTGGTAGCATCTGTTAGGGTTCCAGCTATGGGTAAATAGTTAACCTCGAAACTGCAGTAAAAACACTATGAAAGTGTAAAAATAGGTTTTACTACCAGAAATACTTTGTAAAAAAGTTACTACCAGCAATACTTTATTACCAGCAATACATGTTTGAAAAATAAAAAAATTACCATTGAGGTTGATATGCTGTAAACCAAACCAAACCAAACCAAACCAAACCAATCCAAACCAATCCAAATCTACTAACATCAAACGAGTCCTATGCTTGGATATGATGCTCCACGGTCGTGAACGCTTCTAATAGTCATTAACATTGGTAGTAGTCAGATTCACTTTCAGTGAGACCAACTCGAAGAGCATATGTTGTCATTACTGGCTTCTCTATAAGCCAAAAAAAAAAATGTCAGAATTGGCGTGGTTTGTGATGCTCTAAAAAACATTGCGAGCTTCCACTGACCGAAAACGATTCATTACGGAAATACCCACATATTTGGGGAATTGTGAGTATCCAGCTTGGAATCTTGACTCCCGGTCGGTGTCATAGGTGACTCGTCACATTCCACGGACTTATAGAGGAAAAATTGTAAGTTGTCCTCTCCAGGAAAAACATGGAAAAAATTAGTGGAATATTTATTTGCCTGAGTTTAAACGAAAATTTGAAACACTGAAACACCTAAACAAAACATGTAAATAGCATTGTAAGAATGTCTATAGGGACTAACTAAACTTCCTTTAGTCTGGCACAAGGTCACATATGTCGAGCGCTGAGTTAGGATTAAACTTTCTAAAGAGATACATTATTTCACCACAATTCGATAAACATTACTCCAAGGTGAGGCAACCTAAGAGCTTAGTCTGACATAAAGCCAGAATTCTACAGCACTTAATCAGGATCGAACTCAGGGGAGACTAGTTCTAGTTTTTAAAAATAGCTCGATAAATATTGCTCCACGCTGAGGTAACCAAGTAAATATTTATTGTCTAGTTTAGTTTGATACAAAGCTACAAGTGCAGATACTAATAATCTTTTGCTATTGTCGCTCGATAAATATTACTCTACGGTGAGACACGCAAATATATAATTATTTAGCTTCGCTTAGTTTGACATAAATGCATATTTAAAGTGCACCCTGTTATGATCGAATTCACTAGTGTTTAATAGTGTCTTCCCAAACTAGATCGTGACCTGGGTGAGACGATAAACTACATCCGCGTCCTGGGTAAGACGATAAACCACGTCCAACAAGAAGATAATACGTTTTTGAAAAAATAATGTAGCCAGCTCTACATTTTTGAAAGAATAATGTTACCGTCTATACGTTTTTGAAAAAAATAATATTACCAGCTATACGTTTTTGAAAAAATAATTTTTACCAGCTATACGTTTTTGAAAAAATAATATTACCATCTATACGTTTTCGAAAAAAATAATTTTTACCAGCTATACATTTTTGAAAAAAAATAATATTACCAGCTATACGTTTTTGAAAAAATAATATTACCAGCTATACGTTTTTGAAAAAATAATATTACCAGCTATACGTTTTTGAAAAATAATATTACCAGCTATATATTTTTGAGAAAAAAAAAATTAACAGAAATAGATTTTTGACGAAACAAAAATATTACCAGGGGAAAAAAAGATGTCGGCATTAAATGACCCATTGAGGTTTTGATATGCCGTAGAACAAAACAAACTAAACAAAATCGGCAAAAGTTACTCGAAGGCAGTGATTCTCATCTGCTGTACGGCGCAATGCTCTTATTTGAGAAATATTGTCAATGAATACATATAGCGATTTTCCAAGCGCAGCTTGGGTGTGGCACAAGGCCGAAAGTAAGAGGCACCCAGTGAGGATTGAACTCACTACTCAGCCGTAATTGTTCTAGCGAGATAAGCTTGCTAACCATTACATCGCCTTGAGGTACCCATAGTGAGGCACAAGGCTGAAAGTAAGAGGCACCCAGTGAGGATTGAACTCACTACTCAGCCGTAATTGTTCTAGCCATATAAGCTTGCTAACTATAACACCACCTCGAGGTGCCCGTAGTGATTTTCCAAGCGCAGCTTTGATGTGGCACAAGGCCGAAAGTAAGAAGCACCTAGTGAGGATTGAACTCACTACTCAGCCGTAATTGTTCTAGCGAGACAAGCTTGCTAATCATTACACCACCTCGAGGCCCCCTCAACAAATACCTATATATGTGTTTGTAGAAGTAGTAATGGTACAGTGTTAGCATTTAAGTAAATGAATAACTATTAATCTTTTTATCCTACATTAGCTAAAAAGGCGTTAGTAGTTTTAGTGCAATTTTCTACTACTTATTTATGTGAATTGCGCTTACCAAGCCTAAATAACATCAAAAAATAAAAAGCGAGAAAGACTACGCTCAATTGAAGAAGAAATAAGAATTTGCTTATCGCACATTCGACTAGACATTGAAGAACTTACGAAAAAAAAACAAAAAAAAAAAAAACAGCAGGCACAGGTTACACACTAAATAAGCTGCACAAATAGTTAAATAGAAACATTGAAAGAAAGTAATTTCATATTTGTGTGTGTATTTTTTAACAAGCTATTGTTTTTTTTCGTAAGATTTAAATGTATACCCTTTAAAAATTCTGCTAAGTATGCCATGATATTATTTTCTCTTAGGTGTAAAAAAAAAATGGTCGAGAGACACTGATCTGTGGTGGGACACTCAAATACGTATTTATTAAGTTTCGCTCATTTTCTCCAAGGCCTTAAGTATAGAGCAAAAAAGAAAAGGCAATAAAATATCTAATTTTCTATCAAATGGTATAGTGAAGTTTCCAGACTTGGCCCAAAGAAGGAAAAGTACGTTATGCATGTTGAAATCTTTCTAGAGTATCTCCTATTTCACTCACAAACTAATATGAA